TTCTAAGGGTTCATAAACTGATGACTATACACTTGACTAAGTTCTCTGGTGAACTAATGAGTGTCCTATCATATTCCACTTACCAGTAGAAGAACTCTCTAGTGCCTTTTCTACCTAAGGATATTTAAACTTGAGAACCAAACCAACCTAGAAGCTGTTTGAACCAGACTGCAAATCATGGATCGAAACTCCTCACGATCTTGCAAGTAAAGGGTGGTAGCATCCATTGTCTGTGTGGTCGTTTCAACAACAGCTTTTACGTTATCAGACCCATTTGGAACACATCCTCTTGCCATGCGTTGTCCTCTGTAATTTTCAAGATTGTGTTTTTGGCGTTGTAAACAACAAGTAGAGCTGCCCAATCTTCAGAAATGAAGCCTTTGTAAGCATTCACAACATCAGTCTTTGATTTCAGGGATGTAAGACACACTGCATTTTTCACCACCGACACATCACCGCCTGAAACACATACGAAGGAATCATAATCAACAAGCACCTTGTACATGAATAATAAGCATATGAATCTAACAGCTTGATAATGTTCTAATCATTCAACCATCTCCTTCTACATGAATCATGATGAACATATAAATATAACAGTTTGATAATGTTGAGACTAAACGCCGAAATAATTGTGTGACAAAAAAAAACGCTGGAATAATTGAACGTTACTATAAATATGAGTTTAAGATCAGAATCACCTAGAATCGAAAAGAAGGACAGAGGAGTTAGCCATTGACAAAGAATAAGATTTATTTGTAGTTTTTACAGAATGAGAGGATGATTTTCAAAGGATGGAAGCTGGCCTTTTTGAAGGAAGAGAATAATACATACACCGCCTTGGAGAAGAAAAATTTGCATTGAATGACATATAGTGAATGATGTGGGTCGAGTGGTTTAAGAAGGCAATAAAGATGATGAATCTGTACCTCAGAAAGTTTCGATTGATAATGACTGAAGACTAAAGGTCGCGATTGAATACCACATAGAGATCCTTATAATCGATTTTAAGCACAATCCCTCAAAACTCCATTGTTGGTGCCGGTGATGGAAGAGAAGGATGAACCCTGATATTCGTCGTGAATCCAAGGAAGACGATGAGCGTTTGGTCGCACAAATATTAAGAACAACAAAAAGGGTGTGTTTGATTAAAAAATACACATGTCACACTGAGAAAACATTATTTGCTGACATGGACTTTCTGACCTGGCAGTCCTACGTGGCATTTTAGAGGAAGAGAGAAACACTTCTTTATATAATAGAAGATAGATAGATTGGCCTTAAATGAAATGTATGTTCTTTATCTGATTTGAATAATTACTGGGTATATTGAGATAATATATCTTAATAGATTACCTAAATAGTTTTTGAAATTTATGGTTAAATTGGTCCCAAAAAAAAAATTGTCAAACGAATATGACTTTTACTAGTGCACTAAGATGTAAACGAATTCTAGAATCAACAATTATGAATAACATGTTATACGACATGTTCTTTGGTGAAAGAGAAAAAAGATACAATAAAGGAATTCCAAGAATGTTTACAAACCAGCAAAGTCAGTGGCTGGGGTTACAAAACCAATTCCAAAACAAGGGATAGATATAACAAAAACATATGATTAATGTTTTGAAGGATCAAGAACTTGACCCATGAACAAAATCACTCCACTCTTGTCTTCTCTCACCGTAAATAAAAAAGGATGATCAGCTACAAAAGATGGATTTTCATACATCAATATATCCTGCGTGGTATAACAAACGGCTGCAGCCTTAGTTCCCTCTTCATCCACCTCAATGAAAGCTTTATGAATAATGCTTGAGACGTGCAGCTTCTCACCGGAGGTAGGCGAATCAACCATCTCAGTCAGGCCACCTCCATGAGTAAAAGGTGAAGTCAGCCCCATTTCCATCAAAACATCTGAAGCTTTAAAATCAAAAGAGAACTTAAACTTTGGAATTCTAAAAGCATCCACTGATACATGATATCTTGGAAGATGGTTATCAAAGAACCCTGGTTCAGAGCCTATTTTCTCAAGTAGAGCAGGCAGTCCATTTTTATCGTTAGGGAGATAAATATACATGTAGAATTCACGTTGATCATCCTCTACATAAGGGATGCATAAAACTTGAAAACCATCGTAGCCTTTTAGGTATTGGCTCTTGTCATTTGTCATGAATGGGACTTTCACAGATGTGCCATCAAGAAGGTGAAAGTCGTTATCTTCTGTCAGCTTTGGATCAAATTTTACACCCCAAGCGCCTTTAAAGTAAACTGCATTTGCAAGTAAGAGTTTGCTGACACGGATAGCCTCGATAGAATTGTGTGGAAGTATCTGCTCGATGAGTCCATTGGTGTTGAGCTTAGCCCATGTGTTCACTTCATCAATCACTTCAGCAGGCTGCAAAATAAGCCATCAACAAATTGACCAATCACTTTACAAAATTCAGTGTAACGGAAAACATAAAGAATCTCACATATAAAAATATGACGGTGGGTATATAAATAGATATTAAACTATCAACTAATTGTTAATTATTATTGAGAAGAGAATCCATGAAGCCTTGACGAAATTAAAGCAAATTTTTTGTCAATAAAGTTGCAAAAACATATATAGATTTACCTTGGATGAGAAGTCAACTTGACTGCAATTACCCTTGAAGGAGTTCTCCAAAACCTCTTTAAAGGAAGGCTTGATGGAGAGAGTTTGGTCGATCCAAACACCAGTAGCCATGGATAAGCGCAAATCATTTCTCTCACTGCCATTGGCTAGGACAACAGATACAGTCTTGGCCAAGACTGCGTTAAGGTGATCCGATGATGGTGACATGAGGAATGTGAGGATTTGCTGTTTACTGACACAACTAGAACCGGCGGCAATGAGGCAGAGCAGAAGGTTGATTGATATTGGTGAGAAGACAAAGTTGGAGCCATTTGCAACGGTAGCAATGACATGCTTGGCTAATAACACCATGACGTCGTTTTGCATCTCAGTTGATTGTCCCAGATCCATGTTTGTTTAGTTTCTTTTTCACCAAAACAAAAGAAAAGAGTTAGGGGACGAACTTCTAAATAGGCAAAGGTGGTGAATATAAAGTAAACGATAAGAAAAAGTGAACAGTCATCGACTTAATAATCATCTCAAGCACGATTAAAAAGCTAAATAACCATTTTGTTAAAATAATTCCATGTTACATTTTGTAACTTGGCAACTTGCCATCACTTGTTGTCAAATTAAATCGTGTTTTGAAATGTTCTTACGAACGATTTTATAAGTTATTAAAAGCTCGAAAGAGGAAACCAATTCAAAACATACCAACTAGTGCATATGCTGTAAATTATTTTAAGAAATGGAATTTGATGATAGTGATCGAACCAATTGTATTAATCTCTTGATTTGAATGGTTCAATAAAATATCTGTCAAGCATGTTAATATGTTTTTTTGAGTATAATACAATGAAATGTGAAACAATCGGATTCTTAAGCAAACAGAATTTGGGAGGTTTCCTAGCGATTGGTGAGAGATTCAGGGTTGAGTCATGAAATGAAATCACTATTCACCGTAGTTCCCCAAGTTTTCTTTCAAGTATTGGTCGATGTTTGACGTGTAAGAAGAACTGTAATTTTAGCATGAGACGTTTATTGTAAAGACAATAAAACAGTAAAAAAATGGGAAAATTGCATAAAAATCATGAAAGTTGACAAAAGTTTCCACTTTGAACCTTGAGGGTCAACTGCTAACACTTTAAACAATAAAACTTGTAACAATAACATATTAACCATCGAACTAACTTACTTGCTGCACACGTAAAAATTGTGACATGTTACTGTTCACTAGCAGGTAAAAAAAGGTGATATGGCGGTTTATTTAAAAAAAATAAATAAAAACAAATAAAATCAGATAAAAAATAAAAAAAAATTTAAAAATTGATATAAATTCAGGAAAAATAAATAAATTCAGAAATTAAAAAAAAAATAAAAAAAAATTATAAATTCAAAATATTTTAATAAAAATAAATAGTAAAAACCGATTAAAACTAACAAAATAGTAAAAATAATAAAAAGATAAAATAGAAATTAAAAAAGTGTAAAAATCGATAAAAATTAGAAAACAGGAAATTTATAAAAATGTGGAAAAAATAAAACTTCAAAAAAAAATCAAAAAAGATCGATAAAAATTAGGAAAATTTAATCAAATCATTGAAAATAAAAATTCAAAAATATTAAAATACTGAAATTGAAAACTAATAAAGATAAAAAGAAAATATATGAATTCTAGAAAATAATAATAATAACAAAAATAAATTATACAAATTTTTTAAAAATTAAAAAAAAATTCTGGAAAAAAAGAAAACCATGAAAGTAGAAAAATTGAAAAAAAGTCATGAAATTGGCAAAAGTTTTGAATCCAAATCTCTAGGATCTGTAGGATCTGAATCCGGACATCTAAACGCTTATAAATAAAAAGCTTTTATCGATTTTTACACTTTCTTTTTATTTTTTTTACTATTTTGTTAGTTTTAATCGATTTTTACTATTTATTTTTATTTTTATTATAAACTTTTAAATTTATTTTTATGTTTTAAAATTTATGAATTTTATTTATTTTCTTTATTTTTTCCTGAGTTTATATCAAATTTTAGAATTTATATTGATTTTTTATCTAATTTTATTTATTTTTATTTATTTTTATTAATTTTTTAGTTAAACCGCCACCTCACCGCTTTGTACCTGCTAGTGAACAGTAACCGGTTATAATTTTGACATGTGCAACAAGTAAGTTAATTCGATGTTTAATATGTTATTGTTACAAGTTTCATTATTTAAAGTGTTAGCAATTGAGTCTCAAGGTTTAAAGTGCAAACTTTTGCCAACTTCATGATTTTTATGCAATTTTCCGGTAAAAAAATGAACAAAAAATTATCCATCAAACGGGAAAGAGACACACACTCACAAAAACAATACAACAAAATGTATTATCCCACACTACTAGCAAATTCAATCAATGTTTTGAAGGATCAAGAACTTGACCCATGAACACAACCACTCCACTCTTGTCTTCTCTCACCACGAACAGAAATGGATGGTCAGCTATGAAATCTGGTTTTCTTGATTCATATGCTGAGCATGTCACTATGAATGCAACAGAAATGGCTGCAGCTTCAGTTCCTTCTTCATCCACCTCAATGCAAGTTTTATGAAGAATACTTGAGATGTACAGATTCTCAGCCATGGTAGAAGAATCAACCATCTCAGTTAAACTACCTCCACGAGTAAACGGTGAAGTGAACCCCTAATCCTTCAAAACATCTGAAGCTTCAAACTCGAAAGAGAATTTAAACTTTGGAATACCAAAAGCACCCAGTGATACACGGTGGTGTGCAATATGGTTATCAATAAACCCTGGTTTAGAGCCTATTTTCTCAAGCAGAGAAGGTAATCCATCTTTATCATAAGGAAGATAAATGTACATAGAGAATTGACGTTGATCCTCTACATAAGGAAGGCGCAAAACTTGGAAACTATCATAGTCTTCTAGGTATTGGTCCTCGCTATTGGTCATGTAAAGGACTTTCACAGAGGTGCCGTCAAGATTCATTATATCCCCTGTGTGAATCGAATCTTTTGCTCCAAGATCCTTTGAAGTATAGTGCATTTGCAAGTATCAGTGTGCTTCCTCGGATAGTCTCAAAAGATTTGTGTGAAAGAATCTGTTTGATGACTCCATTGGTGTGGTCTTTAGCCCATCTATTTACTTCATTAATCACTTCACTAGGCTTCAAACAAATTTGACATATAGATCCACAAGTTCAAGGTCATAAACACAAGAAGATATTGCAAAGTCACCATTAAGAATCTGTAAAATGGATCCTCGATAATATAAATTTTCAATAAGAGCTGAACAATATTAAGTTAGATGGACTTCAAACTTATAACGATAACTAGATTGCACATTTGTATATTATTTAACATTCGTTCTAACTTCCGATGTAGGACATTGTCACTAATAGAAGGAACACAATGGAGTTACCTTGGATGCGAAGTCAAATTGATTGCAAGTAGCCTTGTTAGAGTTTTCCAAAAGCTTTTTAAAGGAAGGCTTCAATGAGAGATACTTGTCTATCCAGACACCATTAGCCATAGATAACTGCAAATCACTTCTCTCAGTGCCGTTGACAAGGGTAATAGATAAGGTCTTAGACAAGACAGCGTTGAGGTGATCCGATGAGGGTAGCATGAGGAGAGAGAGTATTCCTTGTTTGGCTACGCAACTGGAACCAGCGGCAATGAGGCAGAGCAAAACGTTGATTGACTTTGGTGAGAAGACAAGGTTGGAGCCGGTGGCAACGGTTGCGATTAAATGCGTTGCTAGTTTCACAACGATGTCGTTTTGCATCTCAGTTGAATTTCCTATCTTCATGTTACCTTGTTTTTGAGATGTAAGAAAAAGGTGTGGGACGAATGGTTCTGTATGTAGACGGATGTGATGATTCTAAATTATAATTTGAACATTTGAACACGCATCGACACTCATTCATTACCACAACACGATTACGAAGTAAACCCTATTTTTATATTTTCTGAAAACTATTTTCTCTTTCTAAAGACTTGTTTAACCGAAAACTAAAAAAAACTAGAAAATAAAGACTAGGTATGAAAGTCAACAATTTAAAAGATTATAGTAGCATGTTCAATCTGGTGTTCGGTTCGATTTCGGTTCCATTTTTTTCGGTTTTCGGTTATTCGGTTTATAAAAATTAGCTACCATATTGGAACCATATTTAATTTGGTTTGGTTCGGTATTTATACTACCGGTTTTCGGTTTATTCGGTTTTATACCAAATAACATTATTATTTGATTTGGTTTCATATTATATGGATTTAAAAAAAAAATATTGTCAAAACTATAATTTATTAAAATAATTCTAAGTGTTCATAAATATAAAAATGTGAAATTAACAACAAACAAAACGACCAACGATTCAGTTTTGTACAACTTTTCTTATTTTCTCTCTCTGTTCTTCCAAATAAATTACATGGTACAATCTAATTTCACAATTTCTTACAACATGCAAAATTAAATCAAATTTAGATAATAACTGAAGAAAATAAAATAAAATTATTAAGATATATCTCCACAAGGAATAAAAAAAGTAAAAAATAAAGACTATTCCAAGAAAATAAATGGTTATATAATGTATATATTTATATATATTTTTCTTTGATCGGTTTTGTTCGGTTTATTCGGTTTAATCGGTTATAAAACCTAACCATATCCAAATCCTACGATTTTTATAAAATCATATCCATTCGGTTTATATGGTATATACCAAATCCAAACCATATTGTCTATTTCGGTTCGATTCGGTTCGGTACGGTTCGGTATTACCATATTGAACAGCCCTTTATACTGTCATACGGTCATACTTTTGTACTAGATGTTTTGCCCGCACATGCGGGCATAATTTTCGTACAATTTATTATTAGACTATATTTTATTAATTCAAACCAATATAATAAGTTATGATTTATGTTTTAAAATCAATTATAAATGACTACACTCACATAACAAAATATTTTTAAAAGTATAATTCTATAAATGTGTTGCTTTAATTTATTTTAATTATAATTTTTTCTATCTTAATTTTTTATTTCTATAATAAAAAATATATTTTCAAGATAAAAATATAATACATAAGAAGTATCTTATTTTCTTAAAATATAATTTTTAATAGAAATTAGTTTTTATTTTATAATAAATTTTATAAGAAATTATTAAAAATATGACAAATAATCAAAATTATCGAAATCATGGAGAAATTACAAATCAGATATTTCACTTAAATTTTCTAATAGAAAATATATGTTCAAGATAACAATCTAATACATGCTACCGGTTTGGTTTACAGAGGCTACATGAGTCTGTTTGTTTGATGCAAAAAAAAAATCTAATACATAATAATTATCTTATTTTTTAAATCTAGTATTATTAGTATACATTCGTTTTATTATTTAATAAATTATATATGAAATTATTAAAATATGATAAATAAATAAAAAATAAAACCATGGAGAAGTTGATAAATCAACATTGCTTTCTTTATATTTAACTATTAATATTTTAACTTAATTTTTCTATGATTTTTTAAATATATTTTAAAGATAACAATATAATATATAATAATTATCTTATTTTCTAAAAGTCTAATATTATTAATAGAAACTCGTTTTATTATATGATAAATTATTCATAAAATTATTAGAAATATAACAAATAAGCAAAATTAAAAAAATTATGGAGAAGTTACAAATCAATCAGTAAATTCACTTGAATTTTATAATAGAAAAATATACTTTTAAGATAACAATTTAATAAAAAATAATTAACATATTTTATAAAATATAATATTATTAATATAAATTCATTTTTATTAAATAATAAATTGTATATTAAATCAACAAAATTACCTAAATTTATGAAAAACATTGCAACTAAGCAAATTTACTTCTTAAATAATAGTATAGATATAAATGTTGTCCAACAAACACACAAAATTGAAAAAGAAAATATTAGACTAGTCACCGGCATTGAAAGCCAAGATTTCCAGATGGACTAACTAACATTAATCGTGCAAGTAAACCTTGGGAAAGCATTACGTCATGCATGTAAATCATATTTTTAAAACATTTCTGAAATGACTACATATTAAAACCAAAATATCTAGAGGTAGCTAGGGTTGGGACTTAATATCCGCTATCCGTTATCCGATCCGGGATCCGGTCCGATCCGCTCTGAAAAATGGATATCTCGGAGTCTAGACCTGGATAGTGATTTTACGGATCCGGCGAATCCGGATCCGAAAAGTGAAATTTTTAAGTTAATTTTGGTTTTCTGATTTTTTTATTAAAAAAACAGGATCCGGATATTCACGGGTATTCGAGTTTTAGTTCGGATATCCGGAAGGCCTGAATTCGAATAGCAATTTCACGGATCCGCCGAATCCGGATCCAGATATTCTAAAATACCCCGTATATCCGATCTGTCCCACCCTTATGTAGAGGACTAAATCAAAAATGTTAGAAAGAAGAAATATATTGAGGAAAACTATGGAAACTAATCAATGAAAATTGTTCCATCAATTAGGATTACGCCAACACCGGAACTCAATAGATATTCTAGGCGCGCTCTATATACAAACAAAACATCAAATCATGTGTTGATACAGAGAAACCTCTTTCAAACAAAAACTGAAAAACACCAACACGAACAAGTGTTTATTGGCTGTCTTAAGATATAGAGTGTCTTCGGCCTTTACGTAGCATGGTTCGTCCTGGTGTGTGGCCAAAAGGGTTAAGCTTTCCTAGTTTCCGAGAAACAGAACTAATAAATGACTTTCTTGGTAATGGAGGCTTAACCACCGAAGCAGTTGAAACCGGAGAGCAATCCGAACAACTCTTGATTTCAAAATCTTTCTCCCTCTCCAGTTCCTTCAACGTCATTTTCACTTTGAGCAACTCAAGCTTCAAGTTTTGGTTTTCACGGTTTAGTTTGGATAGCTCATTGTTGTAGGAGGTTAGAGTAGGATGAGGAGGAGGACTTTCTGGTGGTGCAATTGCGGTTGCTGCTACTGGAGAATGTGATTCACATAAAACTTGGCGGAGAGTTTGTTGTTCTTGGTGGAGAACCTGAACTACTATTTGTACAGGGAGACGTTCGTTTTGTGCTACATGAGCACAAGCTTCTTGCGATAGCTTTTGACAGTTCATTAAGCTGCATAATTTCTTCTTCTCCACTTCACTTATATTTGGATGCACCTGCGCAACAACATTTAACAACATGAAAATCTGTAGAGCCTATAGAGATCTCCCTTGTTTGGATCATACTCTTTTAAAAAACCCACACTATCTTTGAACTTTTTAATATATTCATTTAGAAATAGTTGATGGTTTTAATCAGCCCCGGCCCATAGCAGAGGCAAAGTAACCAATTGCTTAGGTCCCAACTATTTTTGAGATTTTTTAGTTAAAAAAAGGACCTAATATTTCTTGAAATTTTTTTGTTTAAAGAAAAAATGCCCAAAATTTTTTCATTTGTGTAGGGCCTTAAAGAAGGGGTCGGCCCTAGTTTTAATTGGATCACTAAGTTTAATTTTTACTATTTTCCATCCAAAATAGATGGCATTATAGACGGAGAATGACATACGTTAAACAGTATACCTTGAGGTAGATGTCTATGGCTCGATACATGCCATCATCAGTAATCCTAGACTGTTCCGGAAAGCATTCTGCCAACTTCATGAACTTCACTAAGTTCATGCTTCTATCAGAAGCGACTTCAGCAAGATAAGACTCCATGAGTTCACCAATATCAGTAGCAAAATCAATAGAGTTTCCTTCAACTTCAAACTCAAGATAGTTCATGAGGATGCGTTGAACAGTGTCCACATCAAACATTATGTTGTCTCCATTGAACGAGGGAATCAGTAGATCATCAAGCACGGCTTGTCTTAACTGTAGTCCCATTCTCTTCTCCAAATCAAGCCTACAAGCTACCGTGGTTTCGAGGTATAACGCAGCTCTTAAAAGCATAGAAAGAAAGCTCACTGAAACTGTGTTTGCCTCCCTTGGAAGAAGACTCACAATTGTTTCAAGAATCACTCTTTTCTCATGTTCTAGTTCCGCATCCATCTTCTTAGCCACTCTTGCAGAGATCTCCTGCATTTCCCACAAAGAAACTCCATGAACATTCTTCCTCTGATATTAGTAAAATAAGATAAATACAATGTTATGATCAATAAAATCAAGAATCTCACCAACCCTCTAAGAGCTTTTTGAGCATATACCACAAGCACTGGACCAAGTGCGTGTTTCTTAAACCCTCTAGCCATCATTGCTATCAAAACACGTTGAAACATATCAATCCTTAGAACTGATAAGTCCTCAGCCCACAAGTCACTGGTTTGGCTCTCTTGACAAGTTTCGTAAGCTATTGCATCTATACACCGGCTCACAAGCTTCACTCTCTCTGCCATAGGAAGCAACCCCTCAGACTTTTGAAGAACTTTAACTGAACTCGTTAAACTCTTGAGGATCACTTCGTTTAAGTAAACCTCTGTTGTCTCCACGAGGTTTGCAGCAGAGTGTTCCTTTGTCATGTCAAGATACTCTGCTGCGCATCTTAGCATGGCAATGTTCTCTGCGTTCATCTCTAAGTGTATTCCGTAGCAGAATTTGATGGCTAGCTCGAATGCTTCTGCACCTCCTGGAAAATCTGGTATCTTGATAACTGTTATGTTCGAATCGTTACTTGACTCGGACGTAAGTCTCTTTATAAACCCACATTTTAAAAGAAGAATCTGCAGTCATGACAGAGACTTGAGTATTAAGAAAAGTGTATAAACAAACTTAGATACAGTAAAGATTCACCTTGTGGAGGGAAAATGAAGTATCTCCTATGTGAACAGTGATATCACTAGGAATCTCCTGAGATGAAATCCTGAAACCAGTTTTGAGAGAAAAAAAAGAGTGATTTTCATATTTGGTAACAAAAAAAAAGAAGATGAAACCATTCACTAGAAAGAGAGTGATAAAACCATTCACTAGTTCTCTCCATGGCTAAGGACAGAAGCTCCTTCTTTCCGGACATTTGATGGTGTTTAGTTTCTTCTTTCTCAAGAAATCAACCATAGAACTACTTCAAAGACTCTTTTTCCGGGTAACTCATATATATAGAAAGATCATTTGAAGTTGGAATCGTTACACGTAATTAAGAGAGACGAGTAAGAATTTGATCCACCAAAAAGGTTTCATCCTTTTCTTTTTTTTTGATAAGCCATGAAATTCCTCAAATGAAACTACGAAAATACCTAAACTAGCCCTGTCAGTGAGGAGACAAGAGCAAGAAGCATGAAGGGTAGTTACGTAGTTCACAAGGAAAAATGCTCAAGGTTTAGAGTTTTTGGAGTATGTGGTTCAAACTTCAAAGAGGTAGGGATGCTTGTTTATATGAAACGTCTTTTCGTAATTATAATAATAATAATAATAATACAAACCAAAAAAAAAAAGAAAATTCAAAATTTTATATTCTTTGATCACATAATCATATAATGAAACTATCGAATAAGCAATAATAAGATAGAGCATATTATAAAGTTTTGTCACCGACAAAAACGAGTGGAATGACAAAAAATTCAAATCAAAATCCGAAGTTGTACGAAAAAAGGCCAAACTATTGTTCACTATAGTAACATAAATTTTCTTCAGTTTGTTCAAAAAAATAGAATGTAGTCTCTTTGGTCACATTTTAAATCATTTATCTCGTTTCTCAACTCCAATGGCAAATGCATCAGAGTTTCAAAGAGTAACTCTTTTAATTCTATCACCTTTTATAATGTTCCTAAATTAAGTAATGTCGAGACTGAGTCTCTGGCTAAGACAGCTCTCAAGCTCATCACTATTGACTGAGTAACATCAATTTTCTATTGTCTGCTTCTTTCTCCAAGTTTCAAGATTTTAAGTTTTGTCGACTATCAATAACTCCTAATTTTTGTTGTCCATACATCTTATAGAACATGTTCAATGAATGAATCATGATTGAAGAAGAAAAGAGAATGAGAAATGAGAATACACATGTTGGATTTTTGTGACAGAACATAAATCCTGTATATATCCCCACAAGTTTTAATTACCAGATCTGTAAATTTTTTGTTTGGTAATTGAATATCTGATTGAGACACATCTGAATCTTTGCTATAAGCCTATAAATGGTGTCTTTTGTTCAATCACTTTCTTGAAATTTGACTAGTAACAGTAATAAATAACATTAAAGACGTTCACATCCAAAAACATCAAAGATTCAAAATCATGATGAAACAATTAAAAAAAAAAAAGTATTACAGAAAATTGGTTATTAACAGTCTGTGTGAACGTTTTGTTTTACCTTATAGATGAAGCGAAGATGGACCGGACCATAAACAGCAAGTCAGCAACCGCTTTCTCGGTAAAGCTCTGTCTTCATCTTCCTTGCTTCCCGCCTCTCGATTCCATGAGTCTTACTCTTGAGTCTTGATCGGTTCAGACTCTGGAATAGCTTGTTTGACACTGGTTTGTTCAGCCTTCCTACCGGGCAAAAACTCTTCAGGAACTTCTCTTTACCTTGGAGTTAATGATTCTACCATCAGTCGAATTAACTCTTTGCTTTAACTACTGTTTCACTCAGCTTCTCCCTAGCTCTATCTGGATCACTCAAACCACTAAATCTATTTCCCCATCAAAACCAAAAACATGTTTCTAGCTAAACTCATGTTTTATGTCAAAACAACTAAAAATAATTTTTTTTCCTGCCACAACCACTAAAATATGTTACTCCTTTAAAATCGTTTTTTTAACCGTAAATTATATTTTTCACCAAAAATCGCAAAATAATATTTTAACGTTAAACTGCAAAGTCGAATTTTTCACCAAAACTACAAAATTATTTTTTGCCGTTAAAACTATAAAATCGTGTTTTCCACAAAAATACATAATCATGTTTTCCGTCAAAATAACAAAATCATATTTTCCTACAAAATATAAAATAAAATTTACTTATCAAAATTGCAAAGCGATGCTTTCTCACCAAAATCGTATTATCATGTTTTTCAAAGTATAAAAAATATTTTGTGGTTGATCCAAATAAGAATAATATCTTTATTTAATAAAATATTTCAACTATAATATTATAATTTGAAAGTTAACCATTAAAACTATTTACTCATTTCAACTAATGAGTTATAGTATGATCTAATCCAGTATTAATTTAGATTAAATTATAAATAAAAATGGTTATGGTTATAGATTTGTTTGAGTTGGTTTATCCATTTTTGACATATTCTAATTAATAAAAATAAAATGTAAAATATAAAAGTGATATAATATAATTAAACAATATAGTTTACATCAAAAAATTAAAAATGTTATATAATTTAAATAAAAAGTTTTTTTAAATGGTATCTATTGAAAACAGAGAGAAAATTATTTTGTTATATGATTAAAAATATTGAAAAACTTATAAATAATTTACTAAAAATATACTTGTCCATAATAATTATATTTTAATTGTTATTGGTTGAAGAAGAAAGGAGCTTGAGAGAAAGAGGCCCAGAGATATGATGATGATGATGATGATGATGATAATGATGATTTTAATGATAACGATCATGAACTACATAAACGGATTTGAAGCCTTTTACGGTTTAGCCAACACGCACCGTTTTAAACAAATATTATAATATTTCCTTTTTCACTTTTCTTTCGATAACTCGGTGTAAGCCACTAAAAGGAAAGTAATCCAGCACGGGAGAGCGCACTGGAAGATATATGCGCCTAATCACCTCCTCCTCCTACTCCTACTTTCCCTTGGCATCTCTTCTCCTACGCTTCCTCTTATCCTGCGCCATCTTAATCTCCCGTGCGCCGTCGGCGCTTTCTCCTAACGGAAGCTGCTTCGTCGATCCATATCCACTCGACGAGATCTCTCTTCCCGCCGTGATGTCGAAAGCTCGTGTCTACACTGACGTGAACGTGATCCGACCTAAAGAGTATTGGGATTACGAGTCTCTCAATGTTGAGTGGGGGTAAGATCCAAAGTTTGTGTCTTTTTACTGAATTGATACGAAAGCTTAAGCCTTTTTATTACTGCTTCTGATGTTTGATCTGTTTGAGGAGAAGTTGTTAGGTTTGGTTCTGTATGGTTTTGTTTAAAGTTTCAAGCTTTTTTTTTTTTGTGTGTGTTTGGTTTCTTTAGGGAGCAAGATGATTACGAGGTAGTAAGGAAAGTGGGGAGAGGCAAATACAGTGAGGTTTTTGAAGGGATTAACATGAACAGTAACGAGAAGTGTGTTATCAAGATTCTCAAGCCTGTCAAGAAGAAGAAGGTTAGTGTCTCTCTGTCTCTCTACATTACTTACATTCAATCATATCAACTTTGTAATAGCTTTCTGTTGTTTTAATACTGTAACTCGCCTTACTGTTGCAAAAGGAAAAAGAGGCTATATGTCATATATACGAGAATCAGGCGGTAATTAGGCGTTTTATAATGGATTAAGCTTAGGTAGGTCAGGTGTCTAGGCACTAGACCATTTTTATAAAATATCCTTTTAGAAAAATAGATTCGTCTATGATGATTTGCCGTCTAGGCCAATTTTTAGAATCTCTATAGATAGTTTCTTTTGCAGAGTGGGCATAATAGGTTGCCTTTATGGATTTTTATTTATATGATATTTAACAGATTAGAAGAGAGATTAAGATACTTCAGAATCTCTGTGGAGGCCCAAATATTGTCAAGCTGCTTGATGTTGTCAGAGATCAACACTCAAAAACCCCAAGCTTGATATTTGAGTATGTTAACAGCACAGACTTTAAGGTTCTGTATCCTACTTTGACTGACTATGACATCCGTTACTACATCTATGAGCTGTTGAAGGTAATAATTTATGTGTAATCCCTTTATCATTCCATTACAACAGATAAAGGTTAGTGATGATAACCTTGAAACTTTCTTATGATATGCTGCAGGCATTGGACTACTGCCACTCGCAAGGTATAATGCACAGAGATGTCAAGCCGCACAATGTCATGATCGACCATGAGCTGCGTAAACTTCGCCTGATAGATTGGGGTCTCGCTGAGTTTTATCATCCTGGAAAAGAGTATAACGTCCGTGTAGCCTCAAGGTTTGTTATCTCATTTTTGTTTTTTAATCTAAACTGGTTACAGTATGATGTTTTAATCATTGACTAAGCTCGATGAAATGTTATCTGTTGAATCAGATATTTCAAGGGACCCGAACTTTTAGTGGATTTACAGGACTATGACTATTCGTTGGACATGTGGAGCCTTGGTTGCATGTTTGCTGGGATGGTGAGTATCTGCAGATTCCTTTACAGAATGTTTCCATATATATATATCGATGGTCATTTGATTTGCCTAATTATCTTTTCTTGTAGATATTCCGCAAGGAACCTTTCTTCTATGGCCATGACAATCAGGATCAGCTTGTGAAAATCGCCAAGGTAATTTAATTGTGTAACTAAACTTTATCCTGGTCGTTTCCTTTAGCAACTGTGTTGTGATTTTTAGAGGGCATCAAGTTGATCTTTTACACTCTTGACTCAGGTTCTTGGAACCGATGAATTGAATGCATATCTGAATAAGTATCAGTTAGAACTTGACGCTCAATTAGAGGCACTTGTTGGGAGGTAAGCACAAGTCACGTATTCTCTATAGTATAAGATTAATACTCTCCTTAATGACTTCTTGGACTATTTTCACAGGCATAGCAGGAAGCCTTGGTCTAAATTCATCAATGCTGACAATAGGCATTTGGTCTCACCTGAGGTAACTTGTGCTTCTCTTTATTTCTTTAGAACACACAAGTCCTTTTGACTTTTGCACAGCTCTAACTTGTTTGCATGTTTTCTTACATGTAGGCGATTGATTTCCTGGACAAGCTACTTCGGTATGATCATCAAGACAGGTTAACTGCAAAAGAAGCAATGGTACGTAACTTAACATAGCTCAGCCACTGATATATTTGTTAGTCTGCTTTATGATCAGAAATCTTGTTTGTTTCACATGGATATGATCATGAGAATGAGATTGATTAGCTAGGTTTGATATTTTTTTTGTGAATTAACAGGCTCATCCTTATTTCGCACAAGTCAAGGCAGCAGAGAGCAGCAGAATGAGAACTTAATAGAGACGTCCCTGAGTATCTGAAACTGGTTGGATTGTCCTCCGATAAGTTGTTGTTTTCTTTTAAAGAAATGGTGTTAACTCTAAAAGTTTATCTGAGTATTTTCAGCTATTTTCAAACTTTTGTAGAACATCTAAACTATATATGATCATTGAAAACAATATTGAACCATAAATATATTACTAAACTAGATTTTGATCCGCGCTTGAAAGCGCGTAAATTTTTTATAGCTAAAATTTATATAATTGTGTTATGTCTTAATTTAAAGAATGTTTTGATATAAAATCAGTTTACCAAAATTTATGCTGACGATTTTTTCATTAGTTTTTAGTTTCAGTTTTTATTTTTAGATTTTGATTTTTAGTTTTTAAGTTTCTATTTTGTTTTTCAGCTTTTGTTTGGGTTTTTAATTTTTAGATCCGCTGAGTTAGTTTGAACTGATATTACCAACAAACAAATTTCAAATAATTGAACATCAAATTTAAAACTGAAAAGATGACAAATTTTTTTTTAAAAAAAATTGCAATAGTTTATTTTGTAAATAAACAAAAGCAAAAACTATAACAATATGTTATCCAGAACAATGCGTTTTGAGCTTTTGGTTTTGAGTTTTAGTTTTTAGAATTGGTTTTGCTTTACATTTTTTTTTTAAATCAGTAAATTATTTAAGAAAAAATAAAACAATAAATTATTTAAAAGTTACCATTGAAATTTATCAAAAAAAAGTGATTGTTATTTAAAATAAAAAATACAATAACATATTTTAAAGTACATGGTTTAAATAAATGATTAATAATAGACAATTTTGTTTTGTTAAAAATATTAAATACATTTAGGTCTGAAAATAATAATTGATTTTTTGATCCATTAAGATAGAAAATTTATTCAATGTTTTTTGGAGTTTTTTTTTAATAGTAAGCCTAAAAATCAAACCATATAATTTGTCCTAAAAACAAAAGTAAGCCCAAGATTATATCCCATAAATAACCATCGGTTTAATTTAAATTATGCGATTCAATTAACTATATGGCTTGTTGTAACACTCTAGAAAGAGTCTAAATTTAAATGACAACTAGATTTTGACCTGCGCTTAAAAGCGCGGAAATTTTTTATGATTAAAAATTTAGATAATTGAGGTTTTGTCTTAATTTAAAGAATGTTTTGGTATAAAATCAGTTCACCAAAATTTGTGGTGATGATTGTTTTTCATTAGTTTTTAGTTTCAATTTTTACTTTTAGATTTTGATTTTTTGGGTTTTAATTTTTAAGTTTCTATTTTTGATTTCATCTTTTGGTTTGATTTTTTAATTTTTAGATCCGTTGAGTTAGTTTGAACTAATATTATCCAAATTTTTATGATTAAAAATTTATATAATTGGGGTTTTGTCTTAATTTAAAGAATGTTTTGGTATAAAATGAGTTCACCAAAATTTGTGGTGATGATTGTTTTTCATTAGTTTTTAGTTTCAATTTTTATTTTTAGATTTTGTTTTAGATTTTATTTTTTGGGTTTTAATTTTTAAGTTTCTATTTTTGATTTCAGCTTTTGGTTTGAGTTTTTAATTTTTAGATCCTCTGAGTTAGTTTGAACTGATATTACCAACAAACAAATCTCAATTAATCGAATATGTAATTTAAAACTGAAAAGATGACAAAATAATTTTTAAATTTTTTTGAAATAGTTTATTTTGTAATAAAAAAAGCAAAAAATATAATTCAAGCGCATAAATTTTTTATGATTAAAAATTTATGTAATTGGGTTTTATCTTAATTTAAAGAATGTTTCGGGATAAAATCAGTTCACCGAAATTTGTGGTGATAGTTGTTTTTTCATTAATTTTTAGTTTCAGTTTTTATTTTTAGATTTTGTCTTAAATTTTGGTTTTTGGTTTTTGGTTTTTAGTTTTTAAGTTTCTATTTTTGATTTTCAGATTTTGGTTTGGGTTATTTTTAGACTTGCTAAGTTAGTTTGAACTGATATTACCAACAAACAAATCTCAATTAATCGAACATGTAATTTAAAACTGAAAAGATGACAAAATAATTTTCTAAAAATTTTGAAATAGTGTATTTTGTAATAAAAAATCAAAAAATATAACCTGCGTTTTGAGCTTTTGGTTTTGGATTTTAGTTTTTAGATTTGGTTTTTGGTTTTGCTTTACAATTTTTTTGAAAAATCTGTAAATTATTTAAGAAAAATAAAACAATAAATTATTTAAAAGTTACCATTAGAATTTATCAAGATAGAGTGATTTTTATTTAAACTAAAAAATATTAACATGTTTTAAAGTACATGATTTAAATAAGTGATTAATAATATATAATTTTGTTTTCTTGAAAATATTAAATATTTTTCGGCTAAAAATATTAACATGTTTTAAAGTACATGATTTAAATAAGTGATTAATAATAGATAATTTTGTTTTGTTGAAAATATTAAATATTTTTGGGTCTGAAAATAGTAATTGATTTTTGATCCATTAAGGTGGAAAGTTTATTTAATGTTTTTTAGAGTTTTTCTTTAATACTAAGCCCAAAAACCAAACAATTAAATGTCATAAAAACAAAAGTAAGCCCAAAATCTATTCCATAAATAACCGTCGGTTTAATTTAAGTAATGCGATTCAATCAATTATATAACTTGTATTATTTGTAACACTCTAGAAAGGGTCTAAATTTAAATGACAACTTGTATTAGTAGATAAAAAGAATGACTCTATTTTAATAGAATAGATTTGTATTAGTAGATAAAAAGAAAGACTCCATTTTAATAGAGTAGATTTCCATGAAGATGCTAAATGGTATATTACGATTTCCACATTAATATAATTAGTAGATTTTCAAATTCCATATTTTAATTTAATAAAATTAGTAGATTTTCATATTCCATATTTTGATAATGTATATTCTTTTAGAACATTCCATATTCGTAGGAGAAAATATGTGTCTTTGGTATACACATGGATAACTGCCGTATTTTGAAGATACTTTACATTAACGTCGCCATGTTACATTAATTGTGTTGGTTTAATTTAAGTAACTAGATTTTGACCCGCACTTGAAAGCGCGGAAATTTTTTATGATTAAAATTTATATAATTGGGTTTTGTCTTAGTTTAAAGAATATTTTGATATAAAATTAGTTCACCTAAATTTGTGGTGATGATTATTTTTAATTAGTTTTTAGTTTCAGTTTTTATTTTTAGATTTTGGTTTTTGGTTTTTAGTTTTTAAGTTTCTACTTTTCATTTTCAGTTTTTGGTTTGGATTTTAGTTTTTAGATTTGGTTTTTGGTTTTGCTTTATATTTTTTTTAATCAGTAAATTATTTAAGAAAATAAAACAATAAATTATTTAAAAGTTATCATTGAAATTTATCAAAACAAAGTGATTGTTATTTAAAATAAAATAAAATATATTAACATGTTTTAAAGTACATGATTTAAATAAATGATTAATAATAGATAATTTTTGTTTTGTTAAAAGTATTAAATACCTTTTGGGTCTGAAAATAATAAATGATTTTTTGATCTTTTAAGGTGAAAAGTTTATTCAATGTTTTTAGAGTTTTTTTTCTTAATACTAAGCCCAAAAACCAAACTATATAATTTGTTCAAAAAATAAAAGTAAGCCCAAGACTATATTCCATAAATAACTACTGGTTTAATTTAAGTATAATTAGTAGATTTTCATATTCCATATTTTGATAATATATATTCTTTTAGAACATTCCATATTTGTAGGAGAAAATATGTGTTTTTGGTATATACATAGATACCTGCTATATTTTGAAGGTACTTTACATTAAGATCGTCTCTTTACATTATTTGTGTTGGTTTAATTTAAGTAATACGGTTCAATCAATTATATGACTTATATTATTTGTAACATTCTAGAATTGGTCTAAATTTAAATGACAACTTGTATCAGTAGATAAAAAGAATGACTCTATTTTAATAGAGTAGACTAGATTTTGACCCGCGCTTAAAAGCGCGGAAATTTTTTATGATTAAAAATTTATATAATTGGGTTTTGTCTTAATTTAAAGAATATTTTGATATAAAATCAGTTCACCAAAATTTGTGGTGATGATTTTTTTTCATTAGTTTTTAGTTTCACTTTTTATTTTTAGATTTTGGGTTTTAGTTTTTAAGTTTCTACTTTTCATTTTCAGTTTTTGGTTTGGGTTTTTAATTTTTAAACCCGCTGAGTTAGTTTGAACAAATATTACCAACAAACAAATCTCAAATAATCAAACATCTAATTTAAAACTGAAAAGATGAAAACTAATTTAAAAAAAATGAAATAGTTTATTTTGTAAATAAACAAAGCAAAAAAATAGAATATGTGTTTTCAGCTTTTGGTTTTGGATTTTAGTTTTTAGATTTGGTTTTTGGTTTTGCTTTACATTTTTTTAATCAGTAAATTATTTAAGAAAAATAAAACAATAAATTATTTAAAAGTTACCATTGAAATTTATCAAAACAAAGTGATTGTTATTTAAAATAAAAAATATATTAACATGTTTTAAAGTAAATGATTTAAATAAATGATTAATAATGGATAATTTTGTTTAGTTAAAAATATTAAATACCTTTTGGGTCTGAAAATAATAATTGATTTTTTGATCTTTTAAGGCGAAAAGTTTATTCAATGTTTTTGGAGTTTTTTCTTAATACTAAGCGCAAAAACCAAACTATATAATTTGTTCAAAAAATAAAAGTAAGCCCAAAACTATATTCCATAAATAACCACTGATTTAATTTAAGTATAATTAGTAGATTTCCATATTCCATATTTTGATGATATATATTCTTTTAGAACATTCCATATTTGTAGGAGAAAATATGTGTTTTTGGTATACACATAGATATGTGCCGTATTTTGAAGGTAGTTTACATTAAGGTCGTCTTTTTATATTAATTTTGTTGGTTTAATTTAAGTAATACGGTTCAATCAATTATATGACTTATATTATTTGTAACATTCTAGAAAGAGTCCAAATTTAAATGACAACTTGTATCAGTAGATAAAAAGAATGACTCTATTTTAATAGAGTAGATGCGGTTCAATCAATTATAATACTTATATTATTTATAACACTCTAGAAAGGGTCCAAATTTAAATGACAACTTGTATCAGTAGATAAAAAGAATGTCTCTATTTTAATAGATTAGATGTATTAATATTGGACATAAGTAATTTCTTAGGTCTTATAAATAATAATAATAATAATAATAATAATAATAATAATATTGCATTAACTCAACATGTTTTCAAATAATCTAAAAACATTTTGATCCTGTATTTTTTTCAGTTTTTGGTTTCAATAAAAACTATTTGACAAAAAAAGTTAGAAAATTATTTATTTTTTTATAAAATAAAGAAACTCCAGAAATTGTTATTAGTAATGATTTTCTGAAAATCCATCATATATTAGACCATTTGCAATTATAGTTTTTTTTTTTTGCAGCAAATATCAAAATATTTAAGAGCTAAATAAAAACAGAAGAAAAATCTAAACGATATAGCTAGTAAGGATGAGAATGAAAAGCTAAAACATAAGTCCAAAACCTTATCATATCTCAAGAGTGGAAGTAGTCCTGATGATTGTAATCTAAACGGCAAAACAAGATGAACTCCAAACAGCGGACAGAATAGGTCAAACCGTCAAAGAGAGTTGAAAACAAAGAAGATGATATGAGAGATATACTTCTATCGAAAGAGCCAAAACACAAAGATGGTGAAGCCTCAAATTTGACGTAGTATAAAGCCGTACTTACATAAGTCCAACCATATCGAAACACAAGTGAAACCATCTATCTTATTTTTTTTTTATAACACTGATACGATAAAAAATTCGGCACGGTACAAAATGAGAGAATGTTCAAAGAGAAAGGAGGGAATGTCAGTAGACATCAAAACAAAAAAGGAAAAAGAGCTTCACCCAACCGTTACTTGCTGAGCCTCTAGAGCGAGTAGATGGTGTAACCATACGGGAGCGTTGCTGGCGATATAGGACTGGTGGCGGTGGTCGCGAGTGACACTTATTGCAATAGCGTCAGCAGCCTCATTCCGTTCTGGGAGTGCGTGATCTAAACTCCATGAAGCAATCCGGCCGAGCAGAAAGGAGATAATGTGGCGGATATGGCTGAGATTAAGATGATCATTCGGATTGGTGAATGCGGCATGGAGGTCAACAGAGGAAGTCTCAAAAATAATATTCGAGAAATGCAAATTGTGGATGCATTCCACTGCCCAAAAAAGAGACCAAAGATCGACCTCTGTTTTTGTGCGCATATAAGAATAAGCACGACGACTATGCATGATTGTACACCCATTTTCATCTCGTAGGATCCATGAAGCACCACTAAGACGATTCGAACTTAACCATGAAGACCCAACATTACACTTGAGGAAACCATGGGGAGGTCTTTTCCATCGAATCGTTTCTGGAGGAACATCATTGACACTCTCATTTGGTCCGGTGAATGTATCAAACCATGTTGATTCCTCTTCAAAGGCTTTCTTAGCAATAAAGGAAGGCTCAATATCTTTGGCTTGGAAAACAAAATTATTCCTTGCTTTCCAGATTTCCCATAACAACCATGGGAAAACATTCCTTATATGAACATCCGTGGCTGAGTTTTTGGCACTCTTAATGAGGTGAACAAAATTTAGAAATGTTGAATTCCGAGAAAAGCCATTTAAAGGTAGTGGAAAATTAGCCTGCTGCCATGTTGTGCGTGCTTTCGTACATGTAAAAAGAACATGACATATACTCTCTGCCTCATTGCCGCAAACCGAACATGTTTGGTCTATCGGGATACCCCGAGTAGCCAAACGTTGTTTCACCGCTAAAGCACCAGAAAGAGCCCGCCACATAAAATGTTTTATTTTTGGTGGGGCTTTAACTTTCCATACCTCTTTCCATAATTTTTTTTCAAGAGGAGGAAGGGAATGACCTGAAAGATGTTCATAATCAACCAAAGCTTCTAACAACTTATATCCGCTCCTAGTCGAATAGGATCCACTCAGTGTGAAACCCCATTTGATTGTGTCTTCAAGTAACAATGATGGTTTCAAAAGTAAAATACGTTGAACATCCTGTACCATCTATCTTATTAAAATTATTAAAACTGTAGTACCCATTAGGTTTGTTTGGAAAATTAAATAGTAGTAGTAATAAAGAGTTTAATGTTGTTTGGCTATAAGTTTAATAGAGTTGGGTTTTTAATCATTGTTATAATTAAAACTAGATTTGACCAAGCGCGGAAATTTTTTATGATTAAAAATTTATATAATTGGGTTTTGTCTTAATTTAAAGAATATTTTGATATAAAATCAGTTCACCAAAATTTGTGATGATGATTGTTTTTCATTAGTTTTTAGTTTTACTTTTTATTTTTAGATTTTGGTTTTTGGCTTTTAATTTTTAAGTTTCTACTTTTTATTTTCAGTTTTTGGTTTGGGTATTTAATTTTTAAACCAGCTAAGTTATTTTGAGCTGATATTACCAACAAACAAATCTCAAATAATCGAACATCTAATTTAAAACAGAAAAGATGAAAACAAATTTTAAAAAAAAAAAAATTGAAATTGTTTATTTTGTAGATAAATAAAGCAAAAAAATATAATATGTGTTTTCATCTTTTGATTTTGGATTTTAGTTTTTAGATTTGGTTTTTTGTTTTGATTTACATTTTTTTAATCATTAAATTATTTAAGAAAAATAAAACAATAAATTATTTAAAATTTACAACTGAAATTTATCAAAACAAAGTGATTGTTATTTAAAATAAAAAATATATTAACATGTTTTAAAGTACATGATTTAAATAAATGATTAAAAATAGATAATTTTGTTTTGTTAAAAAAAATTAAATACCTTTTGGGTCTGAAAATAATAATTGATTTTTTTGATCTTTTAAGGTGAAAAGTTTATTCAATGTTTTTGGAGTTTTTTCTTAATACTAAGCCCAAAAACCAAACTATATTATTTGTTCAAAAAATAAAAGTAAGCCCAAGACTATATTCCATAAATAACCACTAGTTTAATTTAAGTATAATTAGTAGATTTCCATATTCCATATTTTAATGATAAATAACTTTTAGAATATTCCATATTTGTAAGAGAAAATATGTGTTTTCGGTTTACACATAGCTTTCTGCTGTATTTTGAAGGTAATTTACATTAATGTCGTCTTTTTACATTAATAGTGTTGGTTTAATTTAAGTAAATACGGTTCAATCAATTATATGACTTATATTATTTGTAACATTCTAGAAATTATCTAAATTAAATGAAAACCTGTATCAGTAGATAAAAAGAATGACTCTATTTTAATAGAATAGATTATTAAAACTGTAGTACCCATTAGGTTTGTTTGGAAACTTAAATAGTAGTAGTAATAAAGAGTTTAATGTTGTTTGGCTATAAGTTTAATAGAGTTGGGTTTTTAAACATTGTTATAATAGAATTGAGCTTTTGTTTAATTTATTTTGTGTTATGGTTGGCTTTGATCATTTGATCAATTTGGCCCATTGTAGTAAATTCTGTTTTTAGTTTATATTTTATATAACGATCATATCCAATTTTATTTGTTGTTGACTAAATTAAAAATAACATCAGTTTTAAGATAATAACAATTTACATTTCAAATAATTTAATACTCAAATATCGTTTATTTAAAATATTTTACATAATTCAAATTATCATAAAGACACAAAAATACTTGAATAGTTTTAATTAAAATATTAATTTTTTTTGTAATGGGATATTTATCCGAAACATCTATCCTCCCCCAAAATCAGTTTTATCCCGATTAATCTAAAATTAACCCTAGAAACCGTTGTCATATTGGAACCAAAAATTTATCTGATATTAGTCGGTTACTAAAATTGTTACCAAACCCACCTCAAACCAAAAGAATCGAACCGGACGCACGTAAATCATCAATTTATATAGATAACCGAACATCTTATATCTCTAGAACTAAAAAAACAAAGAACATAAAGAATCCAACAAAAGCTGAACCCAAAATCAAACTCCAGTCCTGTTACATTCAATAAGATCACAGTTTCTGAAACACGATAATAACCGATGACTTATAAATATATTATGCTTTTTCAAATTAAGTTAACCCGCACAGGTGCGCGGATCAAGATCTGGTTGGATCTTAAGGATGAGAATGTGATGACCTGAGATACGCATGTATTGTAATTTCTTCTTCTAACACACAATTATACTAATATTTACTTTAGTTAAACACACTATTTTCAACTCTGCGTGCGTAGAGTGACATTATTGACTTGGAGTCTTCGTCGAAGTTAACTTGTTTGCCATTATTGTAGGAGCCAACGTTTGTGGTTGAAAATCATTGGTTGTCTTAAAAATATTAATAACACAACTTTATTTTTTTTTTTCATTTTTGTGTAATAATTAGCTCTGGTTTTTCTCTCTGAGTTATTGTTCCTTCTCTCTCTTCAGAAATGGGAAGTTGTTTGTCGGTCTCCATGCCATGTGATCAAGTTGTGAATCAAGTCTCTCAATGTTTATCGGTCAATGGAAGTTACATCTTCAACCTTTCAGAGAATCTAGCAGCTCTGCATAAAGAGATGGAAGTGCTCAAAGCAAAGCGAGATGATGTGCAAGCAAGGGTAAGCAGAGAAGAGTTCACAGGACGTCGTCAAATGCTTGCTCAAGTCCAGGTATGGCTAAAAAACGTCCTCGACATTGAGAATCAATTTAATGATCTACTTAGTAGTAGCACCGTTGAACTCCAAAGGTTGTGTTGTTGTGGATTATGCTCCAAGAATTTGAAAACGAGCTACCGTTATGGCAAAAGAGTAATCTGGATGTTAAAAGGGGTTAAGAGCACCACTTCTAAAGGAGAATTTGATGTGGTGACTGAGCAAGTTCATGTAACTGAGGTTGAAGAAATACCTATCCAACCCACAATTGTTGGCCATGAAACATTGCTTGAAACGGTGTGGAACCGTCTCATGGAAGATGGAGTTGGGGTTATGGGTTTGTATGGTATGGGTGGAGTTGGCAAAACCACTCTTCTTGCCCAGATCAACAATAAGTTTACTAAAGCAAGAGGCAGCTTTGATGTTGTGATATGGGTTGTGGTGTCTAAGAGTTTAGACATCCTTAAGATTCAAGAAGATATAGCAAAAAAACTAGGGCTTTGGAGTGAGGAGTGGGACCAAAACAATGAGTATCGTAGAGCCATTGGCATACACAATGTTCTCAAGAGACTGAAGTTTGTGTTGTTCTTGGATGATATATGGGCCAAAGTGAAATTAGGAAAAATGGGAGTTCCCTATCCAAATGAATTAAATGGATGCAAAGTAGTGTTCACTACTCGCTCGAGAGATGTCTGTGGACGCATGGAGGTTGATGAACTGATGGAAGTCAGTTGTCTGTAAGCTCAAGAATTTAGAGCTTGATAGATTGTTGCAGTGAGAAAGCTTTGGTTCGTGATGTGTGTTACACATGGAGAATGATGTGTAACACAAGATTCAGAGAATATAAAGGAAACGCTAAAAACGATGATGTGGAATATTTTCCATATGTTTGGTTGACGAAATTAGGAGATTTATGATGATTAAATATAGGGAAA